TTACTTAAGCATTTAGTAACTAACCCTTTGTAGTAGCCTGACACTGTTGTGCTGAACTGAATCCAGGTGGAGGCGTACAATCTGGAGGTGGAGGGCTGCCCCCTCATCTGCCGCTTTTCCACCATGGGCGCTGTGAGGAGCATCCAGCATAGCAAGATAGGTAAAGACATTTCTTGTCTTCCTCTACCCTCCGTACTGACATGCACTTTTTTGCTGTCTGTCTCCCATATGTGAGCAAAATGGCTTCAAGTGATGACAGTGTAAACTGGAAAGGCATCAAAAACAAAGACACTAGACACTGAAAAATCTTGGGTTTTATCATTGCCTCCTCTGTGCTCACTCACTTCTAGGAGACTACCTGGTGACCATTGAGGAAAAGAACAATGCCACCTACCTGAGAGCCTACACCAACTGGCGTTACCAGGTACACAAGAACCATCTCGAGTCCAAATCACCCAAGAGTAAAAATAGGACAGAAACCTCCTTGTGGTTAGGGGAAAAAGTGGTTGCGAGGTGATTTTTCATTCGGCGGCAGATTGCAAGTAGTTGCAGTGACCAACTGGTTGCCCAGCAGTTGAATGCACACCACCTTTAACTAGGATTACCTCGCTCTGGTGGTATGCAACCTGTCTCCAAGCAGTTGCAGTCCACCTAGAAATGGCTGCGGTCAGTCTCACAAAGCGTAGCAAAGGTTTGTAAATAACTAGCATCTAGATTATGAATGCAGATAGATGCTAACACATAATCAGTCAGTCAGTCTATCAGTCTGCTTTAATGGATGCAGATCATCTCCAATGCGTTTCTTTGGAATGGCAAACTTGACTCGGCTCATTGTGAATTAGTTTAATTATGGTTCTATACATAAATCTTATGTTGCTTTAATGTGATTAAACTGAGGAATATAATAAGCTTTTGTAAGAAAAAACTATCTGTCAGATTTTTACTGTGAATTTTTTGTAACTGGTACTCAGATGTGGTTGTCAGATTGTTCTAGCTCTCTAGCTAGCTGTCTTCATTTGAACTGTACATCCTGTTATCTTCATATCACAGTACACTATACAAAACCTTCAAATTGAGGTCACGAGCACCCTCAATCAGTCTCAATGGTCAGATGTCCAAGCTTACCTATGTTAGAGACAGACTGCCAAAGCAAATGGTATAAAGAGCATTTAAACATGTGCGTAGTTATGGATAAATTATGCTGAGAGCAAGAAGAAATAAGCAAATTATATTCCACCAAAGGCAGTCTGCAGCTGTCATGTATATTGCTGTTTTCTAATTACACACTGGGAAATATGTTAATGCCTTATTTTCCCTCTGTTCAGGCAGAGGAGAAGGCCCGCGTTGGGGTTCGTTTGTTGGGCCACTTGCTGGGTGGAGCATCTGTGTGGGGTGGAGTGCAGATGGAGATTATTGAGATCCCTCTGTCAGAGCGGCCCATTGCCGTGTCTTGCTGCCCGGTTAGAGGAGACCTGCTGGTTGGCTCTGAGAACACTCTGGTTCTCTTTACGTTGAGACAACACAACCAGCAGAACCTGGTAAGAACTCAATTCTTAATCAAAGTTTACCCGCTTTATTGCCGTTATGGAGTTTATCTGCATTTAAATTTACAATTCAATAATGTCTTTAATTTGTTAAAGACTGTTTATTTAAGTTTGTGTTACTCTTTTGTGCAAACCGGTGTAGCTTCTCTCTGATAAGGGTCGATTTCAAGGTGCTTCAACCTTTGTCTGCTGCTCCACAATACCTTCCACATTAATCTTAGTGCTTCTTAAGCATCTCCGTTGGGATTTGGTCTTCCTCTCATGCTGGACTCAGGACAGAATGGATGCTGCATTTATTCAATACACCATTTTGTGGTACTGATTTGTGATACGGTGCTTTGAGTGCTCAAGTTAAGGGGAAAAAAAGCTCTATATCAGAACCAAAGTCCTATTCTTCAGGACTGAACCAAAAATGAATTCCTTCATTCAAATTGAAGTTGTCTTGTGTGCCAGATGGGAGTCTTTAATGGGCCGATTCAGGCCCCCACACCCTATGTTTAACATCCCTGCTTTAAATAATATCTCTTCAATATAATATGGACGTCTTGGACATAAAGATTTTTTTTCCGCACATACTGTTGATAACTTGCACTCTTTTTTAGAAGATTTTAAAGTATTTTCCAAATATAATGAGTACCTTTAGGGTACTTTAAGGTTTTGTTAAGGTGGCAGCTTAGCACCATTTATTTTAATAGCTGGCTGTAAAAAGATCAAATGTTGTGGTAACGTCTTTCATCGAAAATGAGCAGACTCACTGATAACCTACACACTATGTTACACTGGAATAATGTTTGTTTCTTTGGGAGGAAAATCAGGAGAATCAGAGTCTTCAGAGCAGCTGGCCAAACACTCGGCAGCGCTGCGGTCAGAGTCAAGGTAACTAAAAAAACACACATTTATTAATTTATTAAGATATTTTCAGTCGAACACTCATTTTGTTTCGCAACTATCTACAAATCATCATCTGATCATTGATCAGGGAAGGATGTCTTACAATGAGCCGTGTGTATTTTATTTCATATAGCAAAGAGTTTACATTAGATGTGAATTAGGACTAAAAAGCTTCTATTCAATAGGCCTGTTTTCTACCAACAGCTCAGTCTTCAAATTCCAGCCAGAATCTTTCCGTCCTGGATTTTGAACGCTCCGTCATCCTGCACCTTCCAAAATTCACACCTAAGCAGGTGCTTTTCTTCACTTATTTTTATTTGTGGCTGTGTCAAACTGTTATATCAAGCATGTTCACTGCTTTTTATATTTAAAAATGTAAGCCTTTTCTGAGTGGATAGCTTGCATTTACATAATGAGAGAAAGAGAACAATTTCTGTAGTACTGGGAAATTTCTAACTTGAGCATTTTTCCTTGTTTTTGTTTTTGTTTTATTCCTAAATATTTTGACCGCTAGGTGGCACTGTGCGAAACATATGTGGCTGTGCAAGGAGAGCTGGAAGTCTTGATATTAAAACTGGATGAAACCTCTGAACCCCAAACTCTGGAGGAACCACTGGACACAAATAACGGTAACGGCACACATGTAAATGCTCTATAATGTGTTTTAAGTCATGGCTTTGGGGTTTATTTTTTTCTATTTAACTAGAAAAGGATGAGTAGAGAAACCTTTATGAATATGACTTACATTACTAAAGCTGACAATTAGACATTTTTACAGAGTTCTCAAGCATTCTTTTTGTTTTTATTCTACAGATTTAATACTAAAAAAACAACATAAAAAATGCATTCAAGCTCATATTTTTACATTGTCCACATGCAGCAGAGCATGAGAAATTTTATCAAATGTAGGCGTGACCTGTGATATGCGATCTGTGATCTTTCTGCATGGACAGCAGAATATCTGGAAGACCAGGCTGACTTTCTGGTTGTTCCGAGACACCAGGAGTTACTTGGCGATCGAGCTAAAGACTGCGACATCCCAGTTAGCATTGAAAAAACCGGGCTGGAAGAAGGAAGGCAGTATGCACTTTCTTACGTTCTTTTCAGGTGTGTCTGCACTTCTGAGTTTGTTCCTTAAGAATATTTCTCCCAGCTGAGGTTTGACTGAACTCCCTCTGGTCCTGCAGGCACTTTTCTCCAGAGTTCTTCCAAGGATGCAGCATGGATGAGATGCAGCTTCACTCCCTGCAGCTTTACCCGTTGTTCACTGGTGAGTACCACATCAGTGTCGGTGCTTTGTGACAAGATTCAGGTTTCTTGACTGGAGTGAAGAAACAGTAGCTGATGCTACAAGTTAACAGTGCAAGATGATCTGTTATGAAATGAGGAGAAATGGCGTTAGAATTTTTTTTTCTTAGACATTGTAGTCTGTTCAGGAGTTTACATTCAGTCATCACAGGCATGAATTTCATGGTAATTTTGGACTTTTAATGATGTTTTGAACTCTTTGTTTTGCTCTAGTGTGAAATGATTGCGCAGCACACATCCTTAATGACTTTAAAAAACATTGCATTTCAGTAAAGTGTCATACCATGACATTCATGCCCGTGATGAGTGCATGTAAAGCTTCATTGCTATAGAGATATCTCTGTGGTATTTCTACAGCACCTTCACATTTCGGTGCAGTTTGCTCATGTTGTAAAAAATAATCCGTTTTCTTTTTGTCCTTGTGTGTGTTTTTGCCCAATCATTGTTTTTGAGGGATTGTTACTCTCTCCCCAGGTAACCAGTCTGTGTCTCCCGATGAAGCGACATGTGTGTTCTGCTTCTTCTCCCTCCCCACCACGGGCTACCTGTACAGTCTGAAGGGTGGAGTTGAGCTCCTGTCAGCATATCAGTATCCAGAGAAGGTCCTGGAGGCGGCGCTAACAGACCACCTGTTGCACGTCATAACAAAGTATGTCTGCAGCCTTGAAGGAGCCTGCATTCTGTGTGTATTTACATTTTACAGGGTTTCAAAAAAATAGGGCTCTAAATTCAACAGTTCACCAAACATCAGATAGATTACCTTTTTCATCAAACCCATCAAGCCTTATTTCCATGATATTCCAATTATACCCAAATATAGAAAAGTTGGTGTGTAATTTTTAATCTGTGGTTCTTACTTTGTTTGTGGATTACAAGTACATTTCTCTGTGTGGCTGGTAGGAGTGCATTGCAGTGTTTTACAGTACGATGTGCAGCTCTAGCAGCCAGGATTGAAGACCCCTACATCGATACGACCATGAAGGTATGAGCCTGGCACTGTTCGCGCCATTTACAGTATTTACAATAAGTGAAGCTAATTTAAAAGAAAGTTCAGCCTCAGTGCTCCCCTCACTGCAGAGATCCAGTTGGTGGCGCTAATATCTGTATGGATTGTTATTACATGTCTGTAAAGACACATTTACGCGTGTGTGTTTGTGTTTGTGTTTGTGTTTGTAAGGCCTGCCCACCCAGCAGCCTGGAGGTCTGTGCGCTCAGGATGCAGCTCTTCATCGGCCTGCGGTCGATGTGCGTGTACGGGCGCCATGTCATCCTGCTCTCTGCCGCCGACGCAGAGACACCGGGGGAGACAGAACGCGGCACACAGCGCAGGGGCCTGTAAGTTGTACGCACACACACGCCGCCATGTTGATTTGTACGCCTTTTGATTTTTAAAGGCTTTTTCAGGTTTGACCTCAGATACTTCCCTGCAGTTACCTGCATGTGCATGCATGTACGCACAAACATTTGAACATTTATGAGCCTGTTTGCTGTATGTGTGTACGTGTGTGTTGTTATTATAGCGAGTTGAAAGAACACAACATGCTGACTGGTATTTTCCTGGCGGTGGGAATTGATCCCGCAACCACGCCAGCTCTGGAGAGCCTTCTATCACGCCCCTTACTGTAAGACAAACCCAAAACCCATCCAACCCCCGTCCTTGTTGTCACTTTCAGGCCAAGCTGCAATGACGAGACCCTCAAAACACTCTCGTTCTCAAATGAAATCCTTATAAAGTCCCCTTCTGTAACCCTTGTTTCTCTTATGTTACAAGACTAAATGATTCTTCTTTGCTTCCGTGTATAAGTTAGAGGAACTCCATTAAAAACATTTTAAAAAACTAAAAGCACAAACCTCCACCAAGGGAGGTCACTTTCTAAGCAGTATTTACTCTTTAAGGTAATAGTATTGTATTTTCGGTATATTTGTATATCTCTGTTCTTTTTAAACATACTTTAAGGAGTTTGCAGTGCAGCAAAAATAAGCAAAGTGTGAAGGTGTTTGTTATTTGCTCTGCTGAAACCTATTTTTTATGTTAATATAGGACATGTGTGGGATTCAATTCATTTTTTAGTAAAATTAATTTTTGATCTCAAGTTTATTTAAGAAACATAGTTTTTAAAAGCCGTGCAACCTTCAGATCAATCTATTGATCAAGAAAGAGAGGTCAGAGGTCAAATTTTACATATTTTAAATACTTATACGGTACTTTCTATATGTTGACAATACATACCACACTTGTAAGAATCATAGTTTCTTAGTTATAAGCTTTTTGTCAACCAATAAATCATGGTGTTGATTTTAAGGACCTCTGTGGCTGTAAGGCAGAATTTGAACGTATTGTTAACATGACCCAACTCTACTAACTTTTATCAGCATCCATTCAAAACTTGTCCAGCTATTGTGTTGACAGACAGAAAGAAATGCAAATATACCAAAAGCATAACCTAATATCACGAACAACATATTATTTCATTAATAAGAACTTAGTGATCATGCCGTTTGATATAGAAAATAAAGAAAGGCAAATATAAAATTATATAAAAATTTAAAATCACTTTTTTTGGATTCATAAGAAATAAAGAACTGCTTAGCAGAAAAGGTCGTTAAGCAAGTAAGTTGCATGTGTTGTGAAGAAGTTCAGAAACCCTGTGACAGTATGCAGTCAGTCATTTCTGTTTAAAAAATGGTAAATGATCTGTATTTGTATAGCGCTTTACTTGGTCCTAACTAAGGACCCCAAAGCGTTTTACACATCCAGTCATCCACCCATTCACACACACATTCACACACTGGTGATGGCAAGCTACATTGTAGCCACAGCCACCCTGGGGCGCACTGACAGAGGCGAGGCTGCCAGCCCTCTGACCACCACCAGTAGGCAACGGGTGAAGTGTCTTGCCCAAGGACACAACGACCGAGACTGTTGGAGCCGGGGCTCGAACCTGCAACCTTCCGATTACAAGACGAACGCACAACTCTTGAGCCACGATCGTTCCAAAAAACCAAATGATTAAAGTGTTTGTGTGAGTTTTGCAGCTTGGTCTAAAAGAGACAGCACTTCCTGTTTTAGTTTCTAAACCTAGCCATGGTAACCTGCCTAACTGCCCTCGGTGTGTGTTTGTGTCTTTTTTTTTCTCACAAACTAATCGTGTTAGAATTGACCTAAAAAGACAATTTTATCACAGAGGTTCCTGGATTCCTGTAACTCTTTCTCTTTGACTGACACAGATGCACACACACAAGCCCCTCACCGTGTAACAAACACCTCAACATACCCTTGGTATGAAGCTCCTGTTACCCTGTTCACTAACTGTTTGTTAAAGCTGGGCAGACACTTAACAAACAGCTGAATTATGCTGTGAAGTGTTAGTCACTGATGTAGCACAGCGCATGTAGCTTCACGTGATCTAAATGTGCCAAAAAATTAGGTATAATCTGCAGTTTACCAGATGGCAGGGGAGGAAGACAGGATAAAAACATCATTAATAACTAATAATTAAATGGAAAGTGGTGTATCAATCCAGACCTACTGCAGTGTTACTAAGCGAGGAGCCAGGGGCGCTTACAGTCTCCCAGGCTACCATTGTACTCGTTGGTGTCAAATGATAAACCTGTTTAAAGACCAACAGGCAATAATTGGTTCTAAAAACTAACTGAGAGCAAATGAAGCGGATCTTATAGGCTAGATTATGTCCTCATGATCATTCTGACAGTTGTTTAGTGTGTGCCCAGTTTAACAATTTCTTTGAATTTGTAAAATGTAGTACTGCATTTCAGCAATATGCACTTTGTTTCCCATCCAGTGTATTTTGGATATTTTTGTTTTTGTTGTTTTTCATCCAAAATGTTTTTCTTTCCTGGGAATATCTTGTTTGTTTATTGGTTTGTTGTTTCTTGTTGTGCAATGCTTAGTTTATTGTGTGTGTCTGTACTGTCTTGTTGGTGTCCTGTAAAGGCAATTTTTTTTTTTATAGTTAAAATATCTACAGTAGATCACAACAAAGGTGGGTATAAGTACAGGATTCTTCCTGTGTATGTTGTGACTCAATGGTCAAAATCTTTGCTAATTTTTCTATATGTTGCTGTGTAATGTTTGATCTCAGGAGCAGGAGGTGGACGGTGTCTTCTACCAAAGAAAGCCGTGCAGCGGGACATGGATGGAACCTCTATGTTGTGGACACCGTCACCCCCTTTACTCTCTACCAGGAGATGGTAACTCTCATTTGCCTGAATTGTGTGTTGCGCAACTGTTGATGATGAATATGAAAAGCTAAACAAATACAGACCTGCTGTGCAATCACTTGTGATTTGTCTGTGTGCGTTTTTCAGGTTGAGTACAGTCAGCGTTATGCAGAGACCAACCCACAGGCCCAGAGTCTGCGACACCTCCTCAGCGAAGCTCACCTCCTCCTGCGTGCTGCTCTACTACACGCATCAGACGAGCAACAGACGGGCCCAGGTGGCCCAGCAGATCACAGGACAGATCGACAAGTGCTGGAGGAGGCGCTGAGGGAGAACTGTGCCCAGCTGGGAGACAGTTTCAGCAGGTAACACACAACCTCTCCTGCAGGCAGGTTAGAGGGCTAATATCCCTTTGAATGTGTAGAAAATGTCTCCTTAATATGTTCACTGGCTTAACTCGCTGACAAAATAACCTAAATACACTTTAATTTAATGGTTAATGAGGGCACTGATGAAGCCTCTGTTATTTTTAGCCTTTAAAGTTTAAGGTCCATGCACATTCTGCATTGATAATAACATTTTATGGGTTTTTAAATGTGTTCAGTCAATGAGATTTTACTCTGTTGGACACCTTTACCTTCAGTTTTTGTATTTTCTGGCTATTTTATTAAAATTTGTTTCAGCAAAACTTTTAATCTCTTCTTTTCTCTAAGGGGCGGTCAGAAGGAGTGTCACCTTGCTCTGCCCTACTACAGGATGTCTGGTCTGTCACTCACAGAGGTCATGTCCAGGAATCGGCCATTTCCGGGCAGCCCTTCCTCCTATGGCCCTGGCTTCCTGTTTTACCTGAAACATTTCCTGTTAGAAGACTCGGAGCAGACCCTCAGTCAGGTACACAAAATCTAAATGAGCATGATTTGACAAGTTGAGGAGATTACTTTTTCACACAGGGCCAGGCAGGTTTGGTCAGTTTTTTTCCCTTAATAATTTAAATAATCATTTTAAACCATTTTGTAATTATTTAGAATGTCTTTGTCAAATATTAAAATTTGTTTTAAACATGACAAATATGCACAACAAACCTTAAGAAATTAGTAAGGGAACAAAAAATATAAAATATTGAATCAAAAGAGACGGGGAATGAAAATGAAGAAACCTTTTTAATCTTTCTTTCCCTGCAGGAAGCAGCTGATCAGGTCATTGACATTTTCAGCCAATCAGAGCCTGTAATGCTCATAAGCGTGTGCACCAGCCCCTGCATGATAAATGTCAGTCCTGCTCGGACGCTGCAAATTTTACAAAATCTGGAGGACTCGGTGGGCGTGTCGGTTTCACTGACAATCACCATGGCTACCATGATGCTGCGTTTGGGTGACCTGCAGCAGTACACACAGCTGATGGAGAGACACGCTGAGGTCAGGATTTCACTTGTTTTCTTTGGTGTACTAACTGCTCAAGGTGCAGTGCAAGGTCAAAGTTTGCTACATGATATTGCTTCTTTTTTTTATAATTGTATGTCCATATTTTTTCTATATTATATACTTTTCCACACAAAATGGACCAAAATAAAGAAAGTTGGTCCCTTTCCATTCTGTGCGTAGATGCTGCTAGTGTACGGGTTTATTGAGGAGCCAAGGCTGCTTCTCTATGGTGGATGTGCAAACCAGCATAGACGTGTTTATCCCACAGCTTTAACCCGCCAGATGGCTGACTCTCAGCCTGGACTGCTGGTGGCTGCCATGGTGGCTTTACATGAGAACAGCAAAGTTAAGCTGGAAGAGGCCGATCACATATTCAAGGTACTATTGGCACCTGGAAGTGCAGTGCCTGGAGGATAGTATATCAACCCGCTGATTTGTATTACTGCCTTTCTACACTTGGATGTAAAATTAATTTCAGTTTTACAGAATCTGATGCTTTCTACACTTTTAGGAGCT